TAAGCCTTTAGGACATAAAGGGATAGTTCACCCAAAAATTTAAATTTGATGTTTATCTGCTTTACCCCCAGGGCATCCAAGATGTAGGTGACTTTGTTTCTTCAGTAGAACACAAATGATTATTTTTAACTCCAACCGTTGCAGTCTATCAGTCGTATAATGCATGGCAATGGTAACAAAATCTATGAGAGTAAAAAAAACATGCACAGACAAATCCAAATTTACAAATTAAACCCTGCGGCTCGTGATGACACATTAATGTCCTAAGACACAAAACGATTGGTTTGTGCGACAAACCGAACAGTATTTATATAATTTTTTTTACCTCTAATACACCACTATGTCCAACTGCCTTGAGAGCGTGCACGGCATCCGGTGCGTGAGGTGTGTACACGCTCTGGTGTAGTTTACGCAAGCGCCGGAAATGATCTCTCACGTGTATACGTCACTCATTGTTTACACCGTTTGTTGTGATCGGAATGACTTTAAAGTCTGGTAGTGTGTGATCCTCAGTCGTGTAGTGTATGATGGACAGTGTTTCTTCTGTGACTGTTTACAAAGTTGGTAAGTGTATGATGCCTAGTGTTTTAATATCTCTTCAGATTTAAAAAGTCATGTAGTGTATTCCAGCCTTTAGTTAACACCAGGAAAACTGAAATAGAAACTGGAGAAGTAACTAAAGAACAAGTAAGCTACTTGTTATTAATGAAGTTACTAGCAAAATTGGAATAGCAAATACTGGAATACATACATACAAATAGTAGATATTTAAACCCTAGATCCCAATATAAGATACTAGTCAGTACTTGATTACATACTAATGATAAAAAATAAGCATCAAATATAGATACTAGTTAGGTTTAATTAAGGAATACTTGTTAAAACAGCTTGCCATATGCAAATGTCAGTAGTGTAGGTGTTTGTGCGATTAAATTAACAATTGGATGAAAAGCCTTGAACTGGCTATAGCTTTAATGAACTAGCAAAACGTAAAACCCTTAAAGGGGAAACCTCCCCCACCACAGGCAACTAAACATCCTTAAAGGGGAAACATAACAAGCACTGTATGTGAATTCTGTCACATCTTGCACAAGTGTATGCCTCCACGGTAGAAAGATAAAAGAGGACTAACCGAGGTTAACCGTTCACATGTCTGTTATTCTGGGCGTAGGACGATCTAACTCAAATACAAACGTAACCCATGTGACCAAGCAAACACACGTTTTGCAGCGGTCTCCCTGGTGTAAAAGGATACGTAGTTTAAATAGGTTGTGGTTTCAGTGAAATCAGCGGTTGGTGTCAGTAAACGATAGATGTGCCGCTTACTTTTCTCCCTTTCCTCGCAGTATGCAGAGAGTGCATATTTCACTCTGCATTCAGCTGTAGGGGTGGGGCAAAGTCTGACATTTCTTTATAGTTCATGCTAACAGAACTCCATAGACACAAATGCAACAAACATATTATTAGTATTGGGCGCTTTTGTATCAGTAATGGAACGCTGATTTAACCAAAATGGTTCTGTACAGCCCAGTGGTGAGGCTACATAAGGGCCAGGGTGGCACAGGCCCACCCAGATTGACTGCTGGCCCGACCAATCAAATGAGGATCAAAATCCTGCATACATTACATAATCCTCTTTTTACCGGACATGCCCTCTTTTTGGACCTAAAAAAATGTGTCCGGCATTTTAAATCGATTTCTAAATCACCCAAAATGTCCGGGATTCGGCTTTTGCTTTCTACAGTCGCCAATCATTGTTTGCGTTTTTGTATTAGAGCCCTGCGAGGGACTGTTTTCTTATGCTGCATTCACGCCATATCGTAATAACCGTAATTTCGAGATGACAACACATGACGTTCTACTCGGAGCTGTTCACGTCCTCGGACTCAGAATTATGCTTTTCTATGGCAACACTATCAACGCCTAAACAGAGCCTGCGGTGGTCAGTTGGTACAGCGGTCACGTGGTACAAGTCGTAGCTCTTAGAAAACTCCCAGTTCACAAGTTGTAATTACGAGTTCTACGAGGACGTGAACGCTTTTTACAAGTTGGAATCTCGTAATTATGGGAATTCCGATATGGCATGAACGCACCTTTAATCCCGCTCCCACTAAATTTCTGACCATTACCGCCCGGTCCTGCAACGTGTATGTTCCGCTCCCAAGATTTTGTGTCCAGTTCCGCCCACTCCCGCAAACATTCCAACATTGCATAGAATTTTCGCGCATTAGGGAGCCGCTATCGATATGCAGAGTATATAATCTCTTTTGAATGAGCGCTCACTGTTCACTTTCACGATCACGCGTGCTCTGTGTAAAGGAAGCACATCTTATGAGATATTTATGGGATGTTTTTCAATGAGCTCAGGATCTGTTGGAGCAACAAATCCTCCAGTATGATCTTGTTAGTCATATCTCCTCTCAACCCGTGATCAGTGAAATCTGACTTCTGCAGCTCGTACGTGTTGGATGCAGGGTTGTCAAGTCTTGGTTGTCGTTTCTTCCATTGATCTGTGCAACTTTTTAACTGTTAGATGTTCAAAGCAGCATGTAATGTCACTCTAAAGGAGTGGAATACACTACACAAACTTTACCCTGATTTACAGTCTGGAGAAGTTCAGGCAATAGTTGCTGAAAGTCAGAGCCAGTCTGCAGATTTGAGTCGACAGATTTAATTGAAAATCGTGTTGTGTACGATGGTTAGACTCACGATTTTTTAGCTTCAGACTTTGAGTCCATCCAGTCGGAGGATATCAAACATGTTTGATATTTTCAGCCGATTTTGAACTACATATTGATGTTGGCGCTATGAGTGAATGAAACGCATTTGTCCGTGTTTCACTCTGTCTCGAGTCGCGCTTGAGAAACAGTGTCTTTTCCGCGGCTCAGTACGCTTTCAACTAGTTTTTTTAGTCTCGAGCAAGACTGTACGACATTCACATTACATGATTTTACTGATTTTTACATAGAAAGGCCAACAGCGCACCACATTAAAAGAAATGATCATTCATGTTTTCATAACCGTTGGCCAAATTCAAAAATGAAACAAAAATTAAATCATCTTTGAGAGCAAGGGGGTCCCCCTGGTGTTTCGGGGGCCCTACGCAGCTTGCGTATTTTGTGTATAGGGAGGATCGGCTCTGACTGGTAGTGTGTGTGATCCTCAGTCGTGTAGTGTTTGATGCCCAGTATTCTGACCAGATTTTTAAACACTAGGCATCATACACTCACCGACTTTTTAAATAGTCACAAGTCTGGTAGTGTATGATCCTCAGTCGTTTAAAGTCGTTCCGGTCACAAAAATCATACGAAATTTGCATCCCTATTTTAATCTCATATAGGCTATTGTAAAATTATTTTTGAAAAAGGCACTGAGGTCCACACTATGTTAACAAGGTCCACTCAATTTTAAATTTCTGGCCTCGCCACTGATACAGCCGTCATTCTGCGGCATTCTGCGGATGGAAGCCGGATGCAACATGCTGTTTCCACATCTCATCTGTCTGGTTTGGAGCTTCTGTCTGTAAAATAGTTGTAGAAAACATTTTACCAGTTTTATGGCGATGGAGAATACATTTGCCTACTCCGAGGTGGTGGCCTTGTTATTGCTCTCAATTTGGTGCTTATCAGCTGACAGTCCCCTCCTGTCATATTTAATGTATGAAGTCGTATTATTTTACATAGTGCTGACAATAATATAACCCTGCTGCAAAGAAGATAAAAAAAAACAGTAGGTTAATAAATAGATAATGCTTAATCCTTAGGCTATTTGTAACACACACACACACACACACACACACACACACATTATATATATAGCTGATTTCAAATACTATACATCAGTCCAGAAGGCATTATGGTGCACTAGTATGGACCAGAGGATAACTAACCCTTCTCTCCTTTACCAGCTGCTGCTTTCCCAACATGCTTAAAGACCTTAAAAGGTTCAGAAGGCGTTTGAGTCATCTAGATTAGCCAAGATTCCTCCGATCTAAGCCATTTATCTGAGCGAAAGGTTTTGTGGGTAAAATAGAATTATACATCATTGCTGCTTCTTTCTCTATGATGGGTTGTGATGTGTAAGTTTTCAAGTGGGTGTGTGTAGCTTTTATGCTGTTTGTGTGGAGTTTCCTCACATATTGATTCTTATACATTGCTTAATTTCTTTCTTCCTGCTGTGGTGTTATGTTTGCGTGTGTGTGTTGAGGGAATTAAGGCTCTCTAATAAGTATGTGTGGTAAGGGGGTAACAACAATACTTTTTGCATCCGTGTCTCACAGCTCCCATCAGCATTGATACAATAGCCATACTGAGATCTGTGGGTTATAACTGGATACATGCAAAGTAGAACTGTTCATAAGGTTCAAAAGACTATGGGATTGGTTGATGATTTGTGACACATTTGACTGTGTAAAAAAACACATGCAAAAATCCTGTGTGTTTTTGCATGCCAATTTAAATGTGTAACCTCATGTATGGTTTCAGGTCAGGCAACATATTCTTTCTCTAATTTAAATTCAATTCAAATAGCTGTATTGGCATGGCCTAAAGTACATTTTGTATTGCCAAAGCAAACAACATAAAATGTAATTTAGAACAAATGAATGATTGAAATTTCAAATCTCTCTATCTGATACACACACTTTTATTTACGGTCTTGTTTCTGTTTGGAATGGCTCCCAGAATATTAATCCTATTAAATTATAGGTTGTTAGCCAGATTATACCAGATTAAAGATTATGCCGTAATGTTAATATAAACCCGCAGGACATCTGCACTATGAAATTACCAGTACTAAACATGTTTTATACACATATTATAATAAAAAATCTTACCAATATACTTATTAAGATTAATTAAAAAAAAAAAACTTTCAAATTGCAATGAAACATTTGTATTATTCTGCTTGTCAATCCTACAAACTGTCTGTGATTCGTAACTGGGTTCAACTAGAACACTGTGGTCTTTGATGTTATTCACATGTCTTGTTTTATTCTACAGGTGTCTACAGGGGTGAGAGAGTTCAGAGGGTAAAGGTTAAAGGTCATTTCAAGATGAGTGAGCTCGAGCAGCTTCGTCAGGAGGCTGAGCAACTGCGCAATCAGATCAGAGTGAGTCCTACTGATACTGCTAAAAAATAAACTGCATTGGAGTCCTGATCACCATGTCAGGGTTTATGCTTCCATAATGACAGTTGGCTTTACATTAACCCTTATATATAGTAATGAACTAAATGAGTGTTTATCATGTCACTGCTAAATACACTTATATGAAGTCTAATTTAGGGCTTAAAATCTGCACTGATTATCATTTTCTGAGTGCAAATTCGGAGAAAACAGTGTGTTTGCTTTTTTTTAAAATGCCATGCCAGCTTCCATTGCTATTTCATGGCAAAACTTCAATTATAAAGTCTAAAATAGAAACTAAATAAGACGTTGAAGAGCCATTTTTCCTAAAAATTCTAAAACAAGCTTTGACTTGAACATTTTCAAGGGTATCAACAGAATAAACTAACTCAGAGCACTAGGTATTTCAATACAATAAAATATCTTTGAGAAAATCGAATCAATTTCAAGACTCCGTGTTGGTGTAGTTACGGTGTTTGGCTTTTAGAGCAGTATGGATGCCATAAGCAATTTCTAGTGATGCTGTAGTGGCTTTCCTGAGACTCCACTCAAAATTAAGTGTGCACTGAGATCCTGATTTTAAAAACTGGCCATACCCCCACGTACAAATAGTGACAGTAGAATGGTTCTCTAACATTGTCTTCTGTCCCTCAGGATGCCAGGAAAGCATGTGGAGACTCCACACTCACTCAGGTGAGATGTAATTACATGTAGGAGCCGGATGATGTGATCTCCAGAGGTCTGTGGGTTTTCATTTATGTGGCGTTTGTGTGTGTGTGGTAGATAACAGCAGGCCTAGATCCGGTGGGGAGGATACAGATGAGGACGAGGCGCACACTGCGTGGGCATTTGGCTAAAATCTACGCCATGCACTGGGGCTCAGACTCCAGGTATCTCTATCCGCAACCTTCTAACAATTCACCACTTACACCTGGCATCAAAGAGAACAACAACAAAAAAAAAGTTAAAAGTAGCAGATGAGCATGACTCAGCATGACTCAGTGGTTTGTGCCTTGGCTTTGGTTTTTGCATCTGTTGACAGCACAGAAGACAATGAACAACATGACACATTGACCCACATGTTAACTAATCTTTTAAGGCCAATCATCTACAGCTGCAGCCACAATGGAAATTAATTTCTTTAAAGATGTAGGATTTTTGTGAGCTGTTCTATACTCCAAGGACATACTGCACTAGAGCCATTTGTACAGTAATACTGTAGTAACTATAAAGTTGAAAGAATACTTCCCTTGTCCGCATTACGCTCTAGTTTACGGACTGTCTGCATGACGTAATTTTCGTCATCATCACATTCCACTGATGTCCATTCACAGCCCATATTTTTAACTGTGTGTGATTTTGAAGGCTGCACCCTCCAGAGGTCGCATTTGTCACCCTCATTTCTTTAAAGATGTCTCATTTCAGAAAAGTACCCATTATAAAATTGATTTATTTATTTTTTAGGTGTAAATTATTGTAATGTCTTTCTTACTTTGGAATGCAATGGTTAGTTTTCTGAAATGAGGCATCTTCAATTATGCAGCCAAAAAAAATGTGACTATCAGAGGTCTGTTCTATAAACTCTGAAAAATTATCATCATTATCAGTATTTAATTAATAATAATACTTTATTCATTTTACCACAGAATTAAATATAGTATGCGTTTCAATCAGCTCCCTAGTTCAGTAGTCAGGGAGTCAGCCATTTTAAGGGCTGTCTCATTGCGAAATCCTTTCAGTGCACTGGAACGTCCCTGAAAAATCCCACAATTCACCGCAAAAAGTAGGGAGCATCGATGCTCACTATGCTCCCTTACCGGAAACTATGCATGTCACATTTCTGAAGAATGAAACAAACCACACCAGCCAACTCAAATATGACACGCAATAGATTTGAAAGACTTTTTTTTTCAGCATAAACAGGTAGAGAACACATACCTGTAGTGAGTAGTGAGTCTCGAAATGTCCCTTTCACATAGCAACTTACAGTAGCATCTCAAATACTGTCTGTTTGAACGTGCAATGGGTGTCAAGACCGTATTTCTTACCAGTAACCATAGCAACAGTGACCGAAGTAATATCAAAGATGGCGATGTCCATAAAAGAGTGAAAAAAAAAGTGGCATGATTTGTAGCCAAGTATGGTGTGCCATACTCTGAATTTGTGCTCTGCATTTAACCCATCCAAGTGCACACACACACAGAGCAGTGAGTTGTCATGTGACATGGGTGTTTTGAATCACACTTCAGAGCAGTGTTTCAAAACATCTACGTTTCGGGATCTCAACACTGCGTCGAAATGTCAGTTTCGCGTCAGCCATCCCTATATACCAATTTACGAGTTAGGGAGCTGATTGAGACACACCCATAGTGTTTTACAATATTATCTAAGAGCTGCATATTGTATTTGTTATAAGTTATGTATATGTACTGTATATGTTGTATATGTTATCTTAGGCTATTAGATTAGCACGCTAACCATAGAGAATGCATTAGCGAATTTTAGCTTAGCAAACTGTTAATCAAAAAATAACAATTTGTTGCTTTGCTCATACCTTGTAATACCTTTAAATTGCTTTAAAATTCCAAGGGGGATCAGATTCTGCAAAGTTCATTTGAAAGTGACCAGTTCATTACATTTCAATTAAAGGGGTCATATGACGAAGTGGATATCGTCCTCTTTTGGAAGACCAAACAAAGTAGTTTCGCTTTCACAACGAAACACACAGTGCCTTCACGACATGGCGGCAGCAACAATACTACAGCGAGAATAAAAGTTACGCCTTCTTTCTTTGCGTGAACATTTGGGCGGCGTTATGCATCTTATGATATCTTCCCACATTGAGACATAGACATGTGGGGGCGTGTTAGAACGAGGCATTTTAGGTAGGCGTGGTTGACTCTTAACTTTTATAAAGAATATCTCTTTGGATTTGAGACTTTAGTCTTTGCAACTTTACAGATCTTCTTTATGCACCAAGAGCTTGTAACACTCCAAAGAGAAAGGAAAAATTTTAATCGCATCATATGACCCCTTTAAAGGTGCCTGTGTGTAAAATTTAAAAAACACCAGCCAAATGTGTGCCCTAAGCCCCCCCCCCAAATTTTTTTTATTTCGTGCCCCCTTTCTAGTTGCCTAAGGCTGCGTACTCTCCATATAGGAAACAGCAGTACTGAGAAAAACATAAGCCTACAAGCAAATAACATAAGCTACTTGGTGATTCAGTTCATTTTTTTTTCACCAACTAGCTGAATTGAGCTGGAATAAAGAAATAAAGTGAGTGCAGCTGAAAGTTGTAAGTTCGGTTTATGAATTCAAAATAACTCTGTAAAATAAATAGTTGTGTAGCACAAACTTTCAGTTGCCACCAGCCACTTCACTCACTGTCTTGTTGTCACGATTGCTGCCGGAAGGAACACGGAGCCGTGGAATACACAAAATAGTCTTTATTATATCCAAGACACGGGCAAATCCAACTCAGGAACAAGGAGCGACACACGAACACAACTCAGTAGACCAGACCAAGAAACATGAGGCAGACTACACATTATATACTCGACTTGACCAGGGATAGACATGTGCGGGGAATAAACTAATAATCAAACTTTTTGTAGTTTCATGGTTTTGAGAATGAAGACATATCACGCAACCTGTCTGTGTTAGCATAGCTAGCTCTTACTAAGAGATAGATGAATTTGGACGTCAACAGAAAAAGATATGGGAAGCATTTCTCCTCTCTTTTAAAAGTTGATGAGCCTGTTTGTTTTGCATTTTGTTGTTTTTTCCCTGCTGTCCGTGATCAGACCAGATGAGAATTGCTGCAATCAAACACACCGTTCACTTTCAGTTACAGCTTCTTTTGAACGTACACTTACATTATTCAATAATGTCTGTGCAGTTTGTACGTTTTAACCTTGTATTTGTGTTTGTGCCAGCGCTCTGTGGGACATTGAGACTGGGCAGCAGACCACGCTGTTCTCAGGTCACAGTGGAGATGTGATGAGTCTGTCATTGGCTCCAGACTCACGGACCTTCATCTCGGGGGCCTGTGACGCCTCCATTAAACTCTGGGACATCAGAGATAGCATGTGCAGACAGACGTTCACCGGACACGAGTCAGACATCAACGCTGTCTGTGTGAGTAAACAAATAGACAAATCGCAGAATCAAAGAAGATCACCATTGCTTTTCACTTATTTTCTCCTCCATCTCTCAGTTCTTCCCCAGCGGCAGTGCGTTCGCGACTGGTTCTGATGACGCCACCTGCAGGCTGTTTGACCTGCGTGCGGATCAGGAGCTGTGTTTATACTCTCATGATAATATCATCTGTGGCATCACCTCTGTGGCCTTCTCCCGCTCTGGCCGTCTGCTGCTCGCCGGCTACGATGACTTTAACTGCAACATCTGGGACGCCATGAAGGGAGACCGAGCAGGTGTGCATACTGGCGTTAATATTTTGTGGCAGTGCAGTAACCGTTTGCAAAATGTTTCATTTGTAACTTATGAGGTCTCTGAACAATAGTGACGTAGGATCCACGGGGTTTAGGGGAACAGAAGATTGAACAATCCGGCACTGGTATTTACACAAATGTAAAATACAGGAATTAGCTCTAAATTCTTGTATCAGACTATAACAAATTATGCCGATCTTGTAAAAAAAAACAAAAAAAAAACTGAGCTGGCTACAGTACAAGATAGTTTTGTTGCATAGATACACTTGCTTGTAGTGTAGATTACTTCAATTAAAGTAGATTATATTATATTTACAAAATAAAAGTACATTACTCAAATGCACATTATTAATAAAAACTATTTTTAATATGCCTTTTAAATGGAAATTATTCATACTATTATATATTCATATTATAATACTGTTATTTTATATTATTTTGCTTCATTTTTACACTTCCTTTCAGAAGGTTAGGATCAGTACAATTTTATTTTTAAATAAATGATTTTTATTTAGACAATTATAATGTTACAAGAATGTTATAATAATGTTACAGTCGATTTATATTTCAAATAAATTATTTTCAAATAAACATCTATCCATCAAAGAATCCTGAAAAATAATGCCCCCGTTATGCCATTTTGAATATTGCCTTTCATGCAGTGTGTAATGTAGCTGTATGTGAATGCAAACGATCTCCAAAGTTGTAAAGCCGAAAGTGCATAAAGTTATTGTCTCCCAAAAGAAAGAATCGACTCTGAACAGCCTGAACGAGTCGTTAGTAACACATTTGCATAATGGCCGCCTATGTTCTACGTAGGCCGGCCGCGAACAACTTGACCCGCCCTCAAACACGTCATTTTACTGACGACTGCTTCTCTAATGTGGGGTTAACAAAACACTTACTCTTGAAAGATGGCTCAGTACCCAGTTTATTTTGACCAGCTAGCTCTACTGAATCACAACAAGTATGATAATAATAGATGTTTATATTTTCTACAGTGTGTTCAAAATACAGAACTATGATAACGGATGTAAGGTTTCCGAGACACACTGTACACGGTGGACCAATCACAACAGACTGGGCCATCTGACCAATCAGAGCAGAGAAGGCTCACAGGAAGGAGAGGTTTAGAGACACTGAATCATTAGCTGCATCCCAAATGACACACTATGCACTCATACACTATGTATTTATGCACTATGTACTCAACCATGTAGTGTATGAATTATATAAGGTTATTTTGTCATTCATAATCAGAGTCTGATAGCCGCTCCCCTTTCGGTACATAATTAAAGCTGCGACAGTTGAGTGCATGAAGTGTCCTACATTCCACACTTTGTTTTCTTATATCATCCGGGTATTTAAAGTGCACTTTTTCTTTTTGGAATTTTCAGTGTGAACGCACTACTCACACTATTTATACTACAAAACGTCATAGAATAGTGCACAAGTACACGATTTGGGACGCACCTTTAGAACTGATTCGAACGAATCGTTTGATAATCGCTGAAAAATGAGGTGGTATTAAAAGCATATTTTGAGAAAATGAAAGCGTTGTTTGACCTGAGACTCCCAAAACAATATTAGGAACCCTAAAAATCGCATAATAGGGGCACTTTAAGCAGCGCAACTGTTTTCAACATTGATAGTAAGTGCTCAAGTTTTAGCATCAAATCAGCATTAGAATGATTTCTGAAGGATCATGTGACACTGAAGACTTGAGTAATGATTCTGAAAATTTAGATTTGCTATCACAGGTACACATTACATTTTAACATGTATTAAAATAGAAAATATATATTTTTTTTAAATTGTAATATTTCACGATATAACTACTTTTGATCAAAGAAATGCATCCTTGAGCATACGAGACTTCATTCCAAACATTTAATAGATCTTACCGATCCCAAACTTTTGAACGGTGCGTATACATGCTGCATGCATGAGGTGGGAAATCCACTAAAATACAGGTTTTGAACTGGCCCAATATAAACAGTATGTTTACACTTTCACCCGTCACACTCATTGTCTTTTACAGGAGTGCTGGCTGGCCATGACAATCGTGTGAGCTGTCTTGGGGTCACAGATGATGGCATGGCTGTAAGCACAGGTTCCTGGGACAGCTTCCTGAAGATCTGGAACTGACCACACACAGCTCACATATTGTACACATTATTCACTCATCATACACAATGTATGTACTTTACTGTACATATGATGTACACTTGCCTACACAGACACATGCCTGACAAAAACCTGTACATAATATATATAATTAGTTACACGTTTACACCAATCTCTTCAGTGCGACATCACTCTATACATATAGTCACACTATAGGTAGGTTTTGGACCACAAGTTTGAAACAGGAATGTTTACACACACACACTTGCTTTTTTTCCCCCTTACTAAAGGTTTGCTGGACCTACATGGTACACAAGTACATTTGGAGAAATGTGCATTGAGTGAGTCGTCTAATTTGAGCATTCAAATCTAAAACATGTTTTTGACATGCTTTATTTTGAGACTGAACCTTGAGCTCTAAGTGGTGGGTGTTGATCCATTTAAGAGCAATCATTTTTATTTTGACTTCCATTTTGTCATCTATACTCAAAAATAAGCCTAAAGTACTGATGTTTCCATGAGCATGTAGAGTTGAAAATATGGAAGACCTGAGACAGTTACCCACCAAGAATTGTCCTAGTTGATTCAGATCACACTTTATGTAGTCCATGTTTTTATAGATGCATATGCCGGCATATTCCAGTATACAAGTAAATATATGATGTTTTGAATTTCATTTTTGTTTAGATTTGACTTTTTTTTTTAAAGCTTTTATTCATGTTTTCCTGTGTGCCGCACCCTAAGGAGAATAAAGAAAACTGAAAATAAATCAATAAAAATCTGTGCCACTAAATATGTGACCACAGGTGGCTCAGAAGGCTGTGTGAATACTTGTGAAATTACTCAATTCATAAAATTGCTTCTCAGCTGTTTTTTTTAAGGACCCAGATTTAACATTGGACCAGCAAAATTATTAATCTGACAGTGTTGCAAAAGTATAAACAGCAACAGAAGTGTGACACCGGACACACTTGCATATGATACATTTGGGCCAACATTTGGAAAGTTGGACTGGATGCAAAGCATTTTGCGTTAACATCAGAATGTGTTCTTCACATTTTTTTTTCTAATATCTACTACATCCCAGTCACTTCTTTATGGTTCCTGTCTCAGTCACAGGAAACAGTATGACATTTAATTGACTCATCTGAGCTTTTGTACTCTATTTGATAATTATCTAATATGTCAAATATATGAGCACATGCTACCATGAGCAAACAAGTGAATTTAAATATATTGTTTAAAAAATAATACAATCTAATAAAATGAGCTTGAAGGAATAAAGAGTTACACCATTTTAACAGAGATCAAGTTATTTTTAATTTTCAAATAATGCTGTATTGAGACATTACAGACTTGTGAATGCATTCAATCTTTAAAATGAATTAAAATCAACTGAAGCATTCCCTCTCCTAAACAGAAACACTAAAAATATGTCCGAAACATCTACTTTTTTTTCTGAAACATAAAAACTAAATGAAAAGAATGATAATCAACCCATCACAGAGGATCAACTTTATCAAGACCTCCAAAACAACCTTTAACCCCTCCTGGCTACTGCTATGAGATTGAACCAAAATCACAAAGTAAAAGAACTACAAGTCATGAAATTTTTTTTTCTTTGGAGTAGTAAATATTTTACAAAAATCGGCTAAGGGATTAACTTTGTATTACTAGAGAACGACAAGAGAAATGCCACGTGTTAGCATAGTGCTAATAGCATGTAGAGTAGATACATTTCTCAAACACAGCAGTAAAGGCCTTAAAACGAAAACCAGACAGCTCCGCATCTCTCGAAGACTGCTACACATGAACTAGTCTAGCTTTTTAAAGACCGACTGGTTTAAAATGATGCTCTCGTTGGATATAAAGGAGAACAGGCATTTCAATGATAAACATTTGTTCAGATCTGGGGGATGGCGTGTAAAATATCATCTTTACATGTGCACCTAAACCATGGATTCTGTAAAAGTCTAACAAGCCTTCAATCCAACAGATCAGTTTAATAGACCAGAATAAAACAAACTGATTACATTCAATAACGTCCACAATAAAGCCAACAACGTGCGCACCTTCAGAACAACCCCTGACACATGGAATTACATTTCAATACGAGCTTTTGTGCTGTGGTCAGCTGCTGTGGAAAGACTAAAATGTTCAATTGGTCGTCAGTGGCATTTACAAACATGACCGGAGTCGCATCTGTGGCTTGAGTCCAGTGATGTATGTATGTATGTTTGACCATTCTGGTCCTCAATCGCTGTCGACTGGTCTTGATCTACATTTCCCCCACTTTTTTTCCTCTGAGGGAATAATGAACAGCACACACGCAGATCAAAAATAGCTCTCCTATTCACACATGCACAGTCACACACCCACACACTCTCTTTTATAACACTCGCTTGGAAAAAGAGGGCTACTGAACGTACAGCCGTATGTACAGCTCGACAGGGAGAAGCTTTGTGCTCGAATGATTATACTTCAACCAGAGAAATGCTATATATCAATGCATTCTTTTATTCAGTTCTATTGATAAGGTTACGTTCATTAAATTATTTTTTATATAAATTTACATTTAGGTAAAAAAAAGAGAATTCAGGGATTTTATATATATATATATATATATATATATTTTTTTTTTTTTTTTCTCCATTCATTTCCACCATCCCGACAGGCCATTGCAATCTTAATATAAACTCCTTATCTAATTTGCAAAACCATTTAATTTCGTTATTCATTACATCATAATTCTTCTATAAAAACATAAAATCTGTCAATCCAGTAGTGTGAACACGGTTACACACATTTACTATTAAGCAAAGGCAAAATCGCACCAAATTCCAAGAGCTCTTGGGAATGCTGGGGACTGTTACATCACACGCATGCGAGCAGCTCCTCACCATGACAACCCGAACCTTTCGTGAACCTCCAGCATGAAAACCAGAGGCTTTCCCTGTTTGGCCAAATGATATAGCCACTTATATACGAGCTACAAGAATCACCATCACGCACTCCACAACATGCTCGTCTTGTTATGTAACTGTTGGGCGTTTGGACTGTAATATGGTGGTAAGCAAAGATCTAAATACTGCCTTCAAACTGGAGGAATTAACTCATTATGGCATGGCTTTTGTGCTAAAACAGAGTGAGAAGAGCCTGTTTTGGTGCTCTGGCTATTGTCAGTTTAAGTGCACTTTGTTGGCACAAGACTCCTAACTGCGCACTGGACTTTTCTCTTCCCTGAACTTCAGTTCTTATTAAAACAATCACATGCTCAACGCTCTCCCACACACACATGCACACAATCAAGCAAATACACCCAACCCCAATCCAAGGCACTGTTATTTCAGTAAACATGGCAGTTTGATTTACTAAGCAGGAAAATGCTTAAGTTCTATAGCAAGTAAGAGAAAGTAAGTAAGGATGAGGGGCTCAAACGAAGTAAGTCTCAGAGAGAGTGAATCTGTCATAATGGCACAGTAGCTTTCAAGTTCGGTTTGATTTTGCCCACTAACTGATGATGAACAATCGATCTACAAGTCCACGCCTCTCTCGGAAATGCAACTATTTATAATTATTTGTCTGAAGTGTTGTGCTGCCATATTTTAATAATGACTTACTGAATGTGTTATCTGTATTTAGTTTTGTCTAGACTGTGCGACAGCAGGCAATATGTCCAGTGGGAGGGGCTATTAGGTAATAGATGATGATTGTACCGCCACAAGCTACTGTACAAATCAGTGCTAAAATCATTTAGTGTTAATAACTAGAAAACTGTTTAGGAGGGACAGAGTGCACCAAACATTCTATTCTGTGATTAGTGTACACAAACTTTTATTTGTAAAGGCAGCATTTAAGTGATATAATGGTATAATACCATCTTCATCAAATAGGGAAAGAGAAAAGACTAGATTGTGAAGGTGTTCTTTTTAGGTAAATGTAGATTATCTGCATGGAAATGAGTGAAAAGCTTGAGAAAAATCTCTAGTCTAGTATTGCAGAGCTGGAGACAGTAACACCAGGCACAAACCCGTCAACCTTCATCCTTAAACTATTGCTTTATACTGATCCAATTATATGTTACTGATTAATATTTCACACTGATACTCACTCCCGCACACACGTGCAGCTCATTGGCACACTGTCAGATAAACAAAAGAATATTCTTGCTCCAATCCACCCAAGTCTTCATCTAAAACATTATGTTTGTGTTGCTAATGGTGGGGTCCAAATATCAAAGAAAAAAATCTGATCAAATGCACACATCCCTGATGACCTACAAGCCTGCCTAAAAAAAACTATACCTCCCATAAGCAATCAAGCTATTTTGACAGCACAAACACATGACTCCGTTATGAAATCACTCTCAAGTGAAAAAATCATGTGCCTACTGAATACAAATGAGATCTAAATACGATCATGGCTGCTATTTACAATTTACATTGTGAACTATACGTTTATGCTGCCAAAATGCGCTTTCAATCATATCCGGAGTAGCTTACTGTATCTTCCTGTCTAAAATCAAAATATCCCAAGAGAAACTCCCTCGTAAAACTTCGAACAAGAACGAGCACACAGCACGTATTGCAATAGAACAGCTATAGAACAGCAGATAATAAAAGTCGGAGTAATACCAAATACGCTTACGTACGGAGAATATCAAACTGTAGTAGATATGATGATACTTCCCACATAGAAAGAAAAAAAGTGCTTTGAAAAGCGAAAACCAGAGACTGTTGCTCCATTGTGGGCGACTAGTGGAAAAGCAAAACGCTGGATCCTGCTCCGTAAGCGGCCACCACAGTTCCCGTCGAACAACCAGTTTGGTGACACAGGCGTCAGATTATTGTTTAAACATCAAGAAAGCGAAAACCTTCCTTTGCTCAGAAGGGAAGCCGTCTCAGAATATGTTAAAACTTATATTTTTAAATCAGTTTCTATACTTCTACTTGTTGAAAGAAAACATTATATCACTTTTATCTGGAACTCTGAACGCAACCAAGAACAAACGACTACTACACTATACAGTGGAAATGGAAAATTACAGATGTTGCAGTACCACATTCACACCACTGCAGTTTCAAGTTGCTTCTGCTGCTTGAAGTAGCTTATAAAGTCTCTCAAACACACGCACACCGCTGCTGCGTCACAAGACGAGCAACAATTGAACGATTCTCGTAGTTTACACACATTTCTAGTAGAATAATGTACAATTAGTCTTTTTGTCTGGTCCTAAAAAGGTCAGAAACATTAGCAGTGAGGAACATTGGCCCCAGTGAGCTGAAAGCTAACCCATGTGGAATCAGATGAACACAACATTGCTCTGTCAGAGGTCAGCAGCGTGCTCATGGCAGACGCACGCATGCCTTGTACAGTTGGCTCAGAGATCACAGCAGAATGAAGGAGTGTCTTCAGGAAGATGTGAAGTATATAACTGTGTGTGTTCTATATGGAGGTTTGTGCAGGAGTGTGTGTGTGTATTTACAGAGTGTATGTGGGTGTTGTTATCTGTGAGGACTATCTCTTCAGTGTTTGTATGTGTGCACACAGCAGAATCTATGTTCATGTGGCAGCTCTTTCACCAGTTCATAATGCAGTTTCTGTTGAGAGTCATAAAGTAGACTTGACTGCTGCCACCTGAGCGCACTGATGCAAAAAACACCTAAAAAGAGAGAAAGACAAAAAAACATTGCAGCGTAAAGTGGATAAGCTTTGTGAGAAGATTATTTTTCTGTGTAATTCAACGGAATTGATATTCAGTTCATTGTATTAAATAATATTTTTTAATTATTACCTTATTTTAATGACTAAAAACTTAATATTTAGCGCCGTCTCAAATTTTGCATGCAGCCCTGCATTATTTTCCTTTATTACTAAATATATACCATTCCCTTAAAGTAATGTCAGTTTTTCTCGACGGGAGAATCTCATTTCATTTTCTCAATTTTTCTTTCCTTTAGCTCAAATAGTAGAGCATGGTGATAGCAATGCCAAGGGAAAGAATGGACTGATCAAATAAATAAATAAATGTCTATCTTAAATGCAATGCAAGTTGCTTTGCATAAAAGCATCTTCAAAATGCACAAATGTAAATGTAATTTTTACACAAATTGTTTGTCAAGCACAACCATTCAATTCTGTTACCCATTATTTATTTCTTAAATAAGGGGGGGGAAAATCACACAATTTAGGGGTTTCGTCCTATATTTTGGCAGCAAATTGAGTGAACTGCAGTGAATTGAAGTTCTATGAATGTGAAATGTGTATGTGAAAAATGTATCACCTTGTCGTTTCTTTCACACAGGAACTTGAGCCTCTGAGCTCTCTTGTGCATAAAGACTCCATCCAGGTGTCCCGTCTCAACAGAACGGATCTCAATGGCTTTCTCTCCCCAGCCCATAATCTGATTAGAGCAGATGTGGGCTACACGCAAAACACAAACACAAGGACATTAGAATATTTTATCATTCAAAACATTAACACATACTGCAACAACTCAATCCCCTGCTATATAATTCAAGGAAATGTGTTTTCATCCAGACAAGACTACACCATTCATTTCACCAATTTTAAAATTCTGTAAAAAGAATATGAGAGCTATATATACACAAAATTCCATGAATTCCACGCTTTTCTGTATCAAGACATAATAAAAAAAATCATATGGTCCTTGGCAGGTCTTAAAATTGGAAAAATAAAACCTCAGATGAACAACACCACATGACATATCACACTGTGTCATTATTTATTTAGCAAAAATAAATCCAATATGGAAAAGCAATGGGTGACAAACTAGGGACACCCTATGAGTCAGTTGCTTGTAGATCCACTTTTAGCAGCAATAACTTGAAGTAATCATTTTCTGTATGACTTTATCAGTCTCTCAGATCATTCTGGAGGAGTTTTGGCTCACTCTTCTTCACAACGTTGCTCCAATTTATTGAGGTTTGTGGGTATTTGTTAATGCTCAGCTCTATCCCCAGCATTTCAGTCAGGCTGAGGTCTGGATTTTGACTGGGCTATTGCAACACCTTGATTTCTTTTCTTTTTCAGCCATTCTGTTGTAGATTTGCTGGTGTGCTTGGGATCATTGTCCTGTTGCATGACCCAATCTTGGCTAAGCTTTAGCTGTCAGAGGGATGGCCTCACATTTGACTCTGGAATACTTTGATATACAGAGGAGCTCATGGTCGACTAAATGACTGTGAGGTGCTCAGGTCCTGTGGCTACAAGACAAGTTCAAAATCATCACTCCTCCACCAGCATGCTTGACTTTTGCTATGAGGTGTTTGTGCTGATATGCTCTTTAGGTTTTCACCAAACGTGGCGCTGTGCATTATGGCCAAACATCTCCACTTTGATCTCGTCTGTTCAAAGGACATTGTTGTAGAAATCTTATGGTTTGTTCAGATGCAGCTTTGCAAACCAACGCTATCCTGCCATGTTCTTTTTTAGAGAAAAGAGGCTTTCTTCTGGCAACCCTTCCAAACAGACCGGTATGGCATGTTTGGAAGGGTTGCCAGAAGAAAGCCTCTTTTCTCTAAAAAAGAACATGGCAGGATAGCGTTGGTTTGCAAAGCTGCATCTGAACAAACCATAATTCACGAATTTCATCATTTAACATGTTAACTGAGGCCTGTAGAGTCTGAGGTGTAGTTCCTGGGTTGTCTCAGAGTATTGTATGGTCTGACTATGGGGTGAATTTCCTGGGATGTCCACTCCTGGGAAGATTAATGTCTGTCTTGAATGTCTTCCACTTGTGAATAATCTTCCTCATTGTGGAATGATGGACTTTAAATTGTTTGGAAATGGCAGTATTACCCTTCCCAGAATGATGGCAGCAACAATTGCTTCTGTAAAATCATTGCTGATGTCTTTCCTCTTTGGCATTGTGGTAACACACACCTGAAGACTCCAGACCAGCAAACTGCCAAAATTTCTGCTTTTATAGAGGTGCTCACACTTGCTGATGATCAGTTAATCAAAGGTATTTAATTAGCAGTGCCTGACTGTTACTTACCCTCTTAATTCCCATCTTAACAGTAAGGGTGTCCTTAGTTTGTCACACATGGCTTTTCCATTTTGGCCTAGGTTTTGATAAATAAATAATGACACGGTGTGATATGTCATGCGTTGATTTTCACCAGACCAGCAAACTGCCAAAATTTCTGCTTTTATAGAGGTGCTCACACTTGCTGATGATCAGTTAATCAAAGGTATTTAATTAGCAGTGCCTGACTGTTACTTACCCTCTTAATTCCCATCTTAACAGTAAGGGTGTCCTTAGTTTGTCACACATGGCTTTTCCATTTTGGCCTAGTTTTTGATAAATAAATAATGACACGGTGTGATATGTCATGCGTTGATTTTCTTCTGAGGATTTATTTTCCAAAATTTAAGACCTGCTAAGAATCAGATGATTTTATATGTCGTCTTGATACAGAAAACCATGGTATTCAACAGGGTGTCCTTTCTTTTTCACATGACTGTATATGTGTGTGTGTGTGTGTGTGTGAGTGAATGTATACTTGCCTACAGATGTGGGCATTTCTCCCCACTGCAGCACCACATCTTTAATGATACGTCCATATGTGTTGACATAAACACCTTCATCCTCATAACACAACAGCATCTCCATCCCATCTGAATTGGGCAGGAATACGATGGCATGAGGAGTCACCTGTGACTGGATCTACAGAGACAGATATGCCGAGAGCAAGAGGGAGTGAAAGAGAGGAACAGAGGTCAAAGGAGATTTATCTTTCTGAAAGGGCCATAAAAACTTTTCTCTTCATTTTACAATTGACCCACAAATCACTGATCACTCCCATGTGATCCAGTGTATTCTTGTGAAAAAATCTTCACGACAGCATAACTCACATGTACAGGAATGTAGATGTCATAGTTGTTTCCAGAGTCAACATCAATGGCATGGAAGCCAGCACTTGACCCATAGATGACCTTTAACCTCTGACCCTCTTCCACTGTGAGGTCAACCAACAGCGGCCTATGTGGCAGGTCTCCAAATGACTGAGAAGAAAGACACAAATAAGCAAGAGACTGAAAGTATAGCACATTACAGAGATGATGCTCACAAAAAATGGTTTACCTCAAATAATTTGGTACTTGGTTACTTTCTATTACTTTTAACATGGCGTAGCAATATTTATTATAACTTGCACTACCCATTCACAAGTTTGGTCAGTAAGATTTGTTTAATGGTTTTTAAATCTTTTTGAACTCTTATACTCACCAAGGCTGCATTCAAAAATCAGTAAAAAACTGTAATATTGTGAAATATCAAACGAAAATAACTGTTTTCTATTTTAATATATTAAAATTAAATTTATTCCTGTGACAGCAAAGCTGAATTTTATAATATAACGATTTGGTGCTCAAGTAACACAAACTCCTGAACATTGTTTTAAACATTAGAATGCCCAGCAAACCCCATGTAAGCAGTGTACATGGTAAATAAAACAATCTGACATTAAAACAAACTAGTGTCTCTACCTTGAAGGCCATGAATTTGTGGTAAGGTTTGGGAGCCCAGGCGTAAACCTCCACTGCATTCTTCATAGCGATAACCAGAAACTTAATCCTTTCATATTTCACTGGGAAAATAAACAAAAATGTTCACAGCAAAGGTGATATATGACATGTAGTACTAAAAGAGTGTGAGTGCAAAGTTAAAGTATTTTGCCTGAGGTCTTCTAAACTAACTACATTTCACACTGTAGTAGTGCATACTTTCGCCAATTTCTTTGTGCATAATTAAGCACTCTGTACATGCACACTTACCAACTTTGTAGTGCACACAGCCCTCCATTTCCCCTACAGTGGTCCAGCCCTGTTTCTTCTCCACCTCTGGGTCATTATGGAGGATTTTGTTTCTCAGCCAGGCCAGATAATACACACGCACCTTATTCTTCTTGCCTGAGAGAGAGATACTAAACATGAAGAGCCTAAAAATGAAAGCATGTGTGTATGTGTAAAGTGACGAATAGGCCTGTGTGTAACCTGATATAGTGATAAGGAGGTTTAGTCCCTCCAGAACATCCATCTGCTGAAACCTGCGCGAGTTGATAAGTGAATAAACTTTCCCCTGGCCGCTCCGATCCAGCAGCTTTAGACCGTTCTCTGTCCCTACCAGCAGATTCACACCTGACAGAACAAACACCGTTATAACACATACACACACTCATATATAAACACAACACTCTCATGACCTAACAAACTGTTTTAGAGAGCCATTCTGAAAATAAAAGTTTGTCAAGCTTCAGACTTCTTTGTAGGAGTTCAAAATGGCAGAAAGCTGTATGATGAAACTTGGAAAAAGTATTGAATTTAATAGGCCCCAAAAAAATGTTTGGCGCAATGAACTTAAGCCAAATTATTCCACAGTTCCAGTGCTTTTTGGTCTTGTTTTATGCACTTTTGGCCAGAGGGTGGCACTGCCATCAAACTAGTCTTGAACGTTGAAGGAATTAAGGAAATGACAATAGAAAGTTCACATACACACATCTACACAAACGGCTCCTGTTCATCTCTTACCCCAGAGAGCAGCACAGAGGATCTCAGAGTTGAATCTCTTCTTGTATTTGCGGATTTCAGGAGTGTCACTAACTGGACGAGTGTTGGTGGGATTGACATTAACCATGGAGCCTTTCCTCACCTCCATCTTCAACTGCTCAAAACGAGAGCCCAGACCTACAACACCCACAAACAACACAAGCAAAGAACCGAGAAACACAGCAGTGAGTGATTGTGTCATCTGTCAGCAATACCTTCACAACAACGAAGCAATGATGGCGGATCTACACTGCAAAAAAACAAACTATGTTTTTTTTTTTCTTAAACAGTTTATTTATTTATTTGGTTTTGTTTTCCTTTTCAAATATATGGCATCTTTAAAACAAGAAGTCCTATCTCTCACAATTTTGTTTCTCAAGTACATATATTAAGTATATTTATTATTAGAAAACAAGACCAAAATACTGATCAATATTCACATGTTTTTCAAGTGCATTTAACCTGTGCACAAACACTACCATTCAAAAGTTTTGTTTAAAAAAAAAAAGATTTAAAATAAATAAGTAAATTAATACTTTTATTCAGAAAGGGTGTATTAAACCAATTAAAAAGGGTTCCGTTTCCAAAAGTTTCCATAAAAATACCAGCACAACAGTTTTTATCATTAATATTCACAAGATATGTTTATTGAGCAGAATGATCTGAATGATCACTGAAAACTGGAGTAATGATGCTGAAAATTCAGCTGAGACATCACAGGAATAAATTTCATTTTAAAATATAGTAAAATAGAAAGCAGCTATTTTAAATTGCAGTAATATTTCATAATATTACAGTTTTTGCTATAATGTTGATTAAATAAATGTATCCTTGGTGAGAATAAGAGACTTTTTCAGAAACATTAACAACGTTTTACAGACCCCAAACCATTGAACGGATGTGTATCTGGGTAACAAATACCCCAGTAACAGTCAGCTAAATTAATACCATACCTCCAACAGACATATTATCGCCTGTGCCCCCTGATGGCTGGTACATCCCAAGGTCCACAAAGGTAGTAAAAGAGGACTTTCCAGAGGCCTTCACCAATCCCCTGGACTGATACTGAAATTGATTGCATGATCTGGATTAACCAATCAGCTACACACACTGTGCAATGTTTCTGTTAATGACTCAAATAAACAAAGAAAGAAAACATGATACAATTATATACACTGTGGAGAGAATGAAGCTTTAAAAGCTAGGTGGGCAGAGAGCTCACATCATAGGCAGAGTCTTTCCCAGGGGAAGAGTGGGAGGCAGAGTCTGTGGGAGAGTGGGAGGGCTGAACCACATCAGGCAGGTTGGTATATCCATTATGACTACGCTTCTCTGGAGTCTGCCAGAAACAAACACATATAGGTATTATTCATGTTCCACTTGTTTTCATAAAGGGAAAAAAAACAGTCCATCAAAAGCAGTGGATCCATTATTCTGGTTTCATGCATACATGTAAAGTCTCAACAACTTTTTTTGAGGCATCGTAGGGACAATACTGATGGAAACCCTCAAAGTGTAGGTAGTGAAAACATGCTAGTGAACAACATCACACTGTATATGCTGCATTAAAATGAAATGCTGTTCTTTAAAACTTTCTATTCATTAAAGAATCGTGGGAAAGAAATATATCACAGTTTCCACAAAAATATTAAACAGCACAACGGTTTTCACCATTGATAATAATAAGAAATGATTCTTGAGCACCAAAGAAGCAAATTAGAATGATTTCTGAAGGATCCTGTGACACTGAAGCCTGGTGTAATGGCTGCTGAAAATTCAGCTTTGCAATCACAGGAATAAATTACATTCTAAAATATATTCAAATAGAAAACAGTTCATATTGTAATAATATTTGAAATTAATAATATTATCGTTACTGTATTTAATTAATGCAGCCTTGGTGAACATTAGAGTCTTCTTTGAAAAAGATTGTAAAAATTTTACAGACCCCAAACCCTGGAACGGTATTGTACATTTTTATTCAGATGAAGGTAATTCATACTGATAATACAGTGCTTATCTTCTATTTTATCTATGTTTTTACCTTTTGTGTGTTAAAATAACAACAACATGAATATAAACCAATCAAGAATTATATATAAATATTTTGTTTAAATTCGGAAAATTAAATTACATGATTACATGCCAGCCACTCTGCTCTGTAATATATCAGCAACAGGGATATAAAAATTAGGGATGCACCAAAATGAAAATGCTGGGCTGAAACCAAAAACCAAAATTCTGGATGCACTTGGCTGAAAACCAAAACTCAAAATGCTTTTTAATAGTTATTTATTATTTTATTAAATAATATAAAATCATTTTGTAAGACTTGTTAATTTTTCATTAACATAATTTTAACATCACTGAATTAAAAAAATACAAGTCAGTAAAATAACCACATTTTTACTGACAGTAAAACAATAAAATTGGACAGAAAATATATTAATATTAAATATCAATATATATATATTTTTAATTATCCAAATAATGTATAGTCCTACAAAGCTATTATTATGAGAGCATGTGAGCAGAGCATAGTGCCATGAGAGGGTAGAGTCATTTTACCAGCGTTGCCCAGCACAGCTATACTACACCATGTTACAGCACAGTAGCGCTATTGCAAATAGTAACAAGTAAACTACATAGAAATTTCCTGTCGGCACGTTATTTGAGCAGACTTTGCTTTTCCGGTGAGCATGAATATTAGAGTGGAGCGTTCACATGGGCCATGAGCAACTCAGCAGAACGCACATTCATAGAGCAGAATACTGAGCAGAGCGTCACACATGACGACGGCTAGAGGGAGAGTGAAACCTGCTTGCTAAACACTGCCAAGCTCTGCGCTATATATTTTCAGCTCATGTTTTTCTCGAGAAAGAAGAAAAGAAAAAAAAACGTAAACACACGAATCCTACCCTCTGTACAAGCATGGTTTGGTCTCCATACCCCCCGGCACGTTCTTCATCTCCTCCTTCACCTTCCTCCTCCTCATGGACCACCATAGTGTTCACAGAGTCAGAATCTGCATCACGTGGGCTGATAAAAAGATTAAAAGAAAAATATGAAAAATGAAACCAAAAAACAGTGAGACATTCACACATTGTTTGTCTTGTACCGGTCAGTAGGGCTTTCCTCTTCTGCTCCCTCTCCACTCTCACTCTCTTCACTGCTCTCACTGCTTTCTGAGGAAGAGGAGTAGTCATTAGCCTTCACCGGGGGCCGCGGTTGCTCCTCTGCCCGCTCCTTAGAGTACAGACCGTGGTCCTGTTCACAGGAGCAAGAAATCAACAGGCAAGTGAGAAACACTTCATCACACGTCACATATCTGCAGTCATCATTACATTAACATTAGATCTCTCCAGAATGAGTGGGACCATGTTTTTATCATGCATTCTTTTAAAAGCTATATGGAGTGCGGAGGGTGTGGCGTGAGCTTGGGATCTTGGTTGGAGAGGGTGAATGTGGTCACACAAAGACCATGAGTGTGGGATTGTCCCTCCACAGATGCTGATGGTTGTGGACTGGTGTTCAGTTGAAATCAACAGGACACACACTTCTGAGGAGAGACGCGAGAATCTACACAATGGTCCAAGATGCTTGTGTACATAGCACATCCTATGTGAATGGCTTTTAATGGGTTAGTTCACCCAAAAATAAATATTCTGTCATCCTTTCTTTCTTTGGTGGAACACAAAAGAAGATATTTCAGAGAATATTTCAACTGTTTTTATCCATACAAAGTTAATGGGGTTCAAAACAACACAAGACCCCAGTGACTGATTGTATGGACAAAAAAAGATCTCTCTTCATTTATTTGCAAAATACAGTAAAAAAACAATAATATTATGAATTATTACAACTTTTAATAACTTTTTTATTTGAATATATTTTATAATGTAATTTATTCCTGTGATGGCAAAACTGAATTTTCAGCAGCCATTACTCCAGCATTCAGTAAGACAAGATCCTTCAGAAATCATTCTAAAAGGAGGGCTCAAAAATGCTCAAAAAACATTTCTAATTTTTATCAGTGTTGAAAACCATGGGAATGAAAATAATTTGTAACATTATACAAGGCTTTACTGTCACTTTTGATCAATTTATTTCATCCTTGCTAAATAATAGTAGTCGTTTCTTAAAGGGATCCTGTTATGCTTTTTCACTTTTTGTATTTTAGTCAGTGTGTATGTTTGGGCATAAAAAAGATCTACAAAGTTACAAATTTCAAGGTCCACTCCAAAGGGAGATATTTCGTTTTTAAAAAAATCCCTTTTCAAGAACTACAACGAATGGCCTGTTTGGACTACAGCGTTGTTTTCCGGGTTTTGTGATGTCACAAAGCGGCCCTTTAGAATATCATTAAAATAATTCCCGCCTATGGAAATTTGAATGGTTGGGGGGTGGGGAGGGGCGAGGTTGTGATTAGAACGCTTGGCTGAGTGCATCAAACAAGACGATGACGAAAAAAAGGTGCTGCTGTAGCGTCAAGTTTTCGCAAGTTATTACACATGCACCTGAATAATTATGTAAATATGCATGTTACAATTATGAAAATGTTTTTATAATAAATTGCTGACAGTACAATACTGGACAATGATGTAATCTGCAGAATTTACACTTCAATTATGAGACTTATGGTATAAATAAATTCAACTGTATAACAGTTTCACTGCAATTCATGTTATAATGTTAAAATTAAAGAACAATAAACATATTACATATTGCCGTTGCACTTATCTGTACATAGTAAATGCAGTTATTTTTAAGCGATTGTTGACATCCTATCTAAAACGTGATTTAGCCAAAAAAAAACAACAACAACATTACCACTTTAATATGTCTTGCAATATCTGTGCATGCAAAGGTTCTGCGCGATCCTCTAGCTCAATATTCTCGGGATCTGAATCCGGCTCAAATTGATATGGCAACATTGACGCCATCCTTAACTAAACCGGAGCAGATGAACTTGCTGCTTTGGCAAGGGGCGTGGCAGTACTGAAACACCATCTAAGCTGTTCGCCAATCACAACGCACTGGGATAGCTAACCAATCACAACACATTTCGTTTTTCGGAAGGTGGGCCTTCATTAAACCCGGAACTAATCGAGCCGTTTGTGCCAGGATGGGGAGAAAGGTATTGTAATAATGTAAATTATGTGAAAAATAATAATTGTGGCGTTTTCGAACCACCAAGCATGAGAGCATGTTCTAGTACACCCCCAGAACAAAATCATGACTTTGTAAAACAGCATAATAGGACCCCTTTAAAATAATTTTTTTTTAAAACCATACCGCCCCCAAAATTCTGAACAGTAGTGTATACTGTATATGTGATCCACTTGATTAATTCATCAGCACATTACATAATGTAATTAATAATATTGACAGCCTTGATATTTTTATTGATTCATGCAGTGATTACCCAGAATTACATTTTCATGATTCATTATTTTCAACATGTAATGAAAAAACATTAATTAAGGCATTTATCCTCGTCCACATCATGAGATGATGTAATCATGCAAGAACACACACCGACATCATGCTGATACACAGATACGGGCACTGACCTCTCCTATTGCTCTCTTATAGCTCTGAGGGCAGGAAGAGGGAGGAAAAGAGATTGATGAGAGGAGAGAGGGATGAGAAGGGTAAAGGGAGAGGAGGAAATGTAAGGAACAGAGGTTAGTGTTTAGAGGAGGGCTGAGGAGGGTGTGTGCATTCTATACAAGACACAGGTGAATGATTTGGGACTCTATGTGCATGTGTGTGTATTTTTTTTTACATGTGACTTATGTTTATGTGGATGTATGTGTGTCTGTATCTCACCGCTGGTCTGCTGGGTCTGGATGAGGTTCGGGATTCCCCTGGTTTGTGTCGGCTGTCATGAGAAAGGGTGGGGGAGGAATCCATCTTGGACGAGCCTGAATTAAACCCACAACATTATACACTTTATTTTTAAGATTGTTGGGTTTGTCTGCAACAATTATAAAGGTTCCAAAAGGGGGGTTTCACCATAGAACAACCATTTTGGATTCTCCAAAGAACCGTTCAGTCAATATTTCTTAAAAGAACCATTATTTTCTTAGTCTGAAGAACATTTTAATAATTTATAGAACCTTTTTCCACTATAAAGAAGCTTTTGTGCAATGGAAGGGTTCCATGGATGTTAAAGGTTCTTCGTGGAACCATACATAGATTTTCAATTCAAGTTTATTGGCAATTCAAGATACCAACAAAGACCTTTATTTTTAACAGTGTATCCAAAAAGAATAAACTTTTCCAACTTATTTTATTTCTGAATTAATGTTTTTCAATTGTGAATGTCCCATAATGTCCCCCAAAGGGGTTTTGTCCGATTTATCTATCTTCTCTATGAGTTGATGATATTTTCTTCTATTTATCCACTAATACTCAAACAAGTTTTTCCTGTAGTTTCATGTTCAGTATGCGGTCCCACCAGGATTTCACGTACAATTACCTGTAAATATTTTTGTACATAATTACTGAAACTGTGGTCCTGGACTGGTACCCTATGCACAAGGCAATGGCGACACCAGCATAGAAATACTCATAATTCTGCTTTACTGCAGGACAAGTGAACATGTATTGATTAATGTGTTTTGGCACTGAATTATGGATTTTGATTAGCCAATATTGCTTTTCCCCCTCTCAAGTTAACATTTTTTAAATGAAGATTTGTGTTGCTTGATTTCACTTCAAATTCCATGACTGCAAAATCACAAAATCCTGGAGGGACTGATTAAGACATTATTTAGTACGGTTATTAAGCTGTTGTCCCCACAACATAAGTCATTTCAGGTGGTAAGACTCTTGCAGGGAGATGTAGCTCCACAATGTTGGCAAAACCTGACCTACACAACACTCACTGAGTATGCGGTGTCTCTCTAGAGAGCCGGTCTGTGGCAGGTTGGACATGATGCTGATGCTATCTCCTCTCTCCCAGCGCTCATTGCGACTCAGATCAGGATTACTGACACAGAAAGAACACACAGTGCAGGAGTCAGTGCAGTCATATGATTTGTGCCACAGCTGGATGTGTGTATATGTATGTTACCTTGCTCGAACTGGGTGTCTGATGCCGGAGGAGAGATTTGTGTTCAGTGCAGTGGCTATGGAGGCTGTTCTCTGAGGAATCTAAAAGAGAGAGGGGCGAGGAATTATGGGAAAACTGTACTTTAATGATTGTGATATTAATAATCACTTGATGGAATAAATATGCACCCACTGATTACATTGTCTACTTGCACATGCCGTTTTAGTGCCCAAACCGGATGAGTTTTACAAAACCTGTATGAAAGAGAAAAGCATTATTTTGTCTTACTTTAGGAGGTTGCTCAATCTCAGGAAGACGGATCCAGGGTCCCCGGTCGTCCCTCATTGGCCGAGACTGAGGGGCAGGGGTCTCTGAGGTGGGGTCAGAGTTTTGACGGACTAGTTCTCTGGAGTGTAGAGGACGAGGTGTGGGTGTGGGAGAGGGATCCTGGGTGGGGAAGGCGGACATGGTCTTAGTGGGCTGATCGCAAAGTGACTGAGAGCGAGGGACAGGAGCAGCATACGGTTTTAACGGCACCAGGTGGGCCATCTGGAACTACGGCGGATGGGAGGGAGGACGAACGAACAGGAGAGGAGAGGAGAGGAGATGAGACAGAAAGTAGCATGTCGATGTAAGCCGAAGGAAAGAGGGAGGGTGAAATGTTGGCCATTTGGGCAAGGGCAAAGTTTTTTTTTATTTGAGAAGTCAGGATGTTTTCACAAAAGGGGTTTAGAAGAGTGTTTTAAAGAGTAGAAATCAGTAAAGCAGTTGTGGAAAAATGGAAACAGAATTGTGTCATGCCAAGAAAGGAAATAGGCCACCGGGGTTGGGTAGCAGAAAAAGGTAGAAGATCCAGCGGAGGATACGCAAGTGAAGAGAAAGTTCCCGAAAATGATGGAGGATTACAGAGGAAGCAAGCGGGCCCCACAGGAAAGAAAGACAAGAAAAAAGAAAGTCATCGAACAGAGAGAGACAAGAGTTAGCCAGAGCATGCAGCATTAAAGAACAGAAATTATGGCATCCTCCTGCTGATTACTATCCTTTCAAAAGTGTGGGGTCAGTGAGATTTTATTTTTCAATTAATTGATCAAAAGTGACAGTAAAGACATTTATAATGTTACGAAAAATATTTCAAATAAATCTGTTATTTTGATCATGGTTTCGACAAAAATATTAAGCAGAAGACAACTGAACACCAAATCAGCATATTAGAATGATTTTTGAAGGAACAAGGACACTGAAGACTGAAGTAATTTAAATTGTAATAATATTTCACAACTTTACTGTTTTTACTATAATTTTGATCAAATAAATGCAGTCTTGGAGAGCATAAGAGACTTATTTCAAAAACATTAAAAATCTTCCTGACCACAAGCTTTTGAATGGTTGTGTACACGATTCAAAGAGATTAAATTACTGGGGTGGACAGTGGACACTTATTAAATGTCTTTAGAAATCAACATACTGTTATGTATTTCCTTAACATTAAACATAAGACATTAACTGGAATAGAGTTCAGAGCAGCCCATTTTTCTTTTGAGTTTCATCAGTCCAAAGTAGACTTTGATGTCATTCACATAGACATGCATTTGCTGTAAGTGCTATATTTTATTATTTTTTTTACATTTTATATTCTTAAAAAAAAAAAATACACGCTGCATACTAGTTGAATTGACAGCCCTAATAATTTTATCACTGTTTTGGAGGTATGGCCACTGAGTTTACCGAACTGAGATTTTATTGATTTACAGAGGGAACAAAATGACAGGTTGCACACCTTTCCCTGCCCACCCTGTGGTTCCACTGGTCTCTGCATTGGTGGGGTCTGTGCAGCTCCTGATTGGCTGATTGATTCAGAACGGGACTGGATATTGGTGTCAGAAACTGTAGTGCAGATTTTGGGAGAGCCCTGTCTGTTCAGTTTACTGCGCTCCTCAACCTGATAAACCAAACATAAGAGTTTATATTCTGACAGTTCAATTCAGAGAGCTACTGTCCTCAGCAGGTTGCAAGTGTACCTCTCTAGCCCAGGCCGGTTTGTTGTTCTCTAGGTTCTTGCTGTAGTGGTACATCTGTGGTTTCTTGTCTTGTTGTTGCTGCTGCTGCAGTGAGACGAGGTATGCGTGCTCCTGCTGCAGCTGTCTCTGAAGTCTCTCTGACTGTCTCTGCTCCTCCAGCTGTTTACGCTTATACTCCTACATACACAAGCAAACAATTAATAACGGATTAACTAGCAAAATGTGACTACTGGAAATGCAGGCACGAAAAAACAATTAACATACAACACTAACAGCACACGGTCACATGCGTAAATACTCACGCACACAAACATAAATGTAAAACATATGCCCCTTCACAATATGCAAATGAAATAATTATGAATTAATGAATAATTGCACACATAAACTAAATTATTTGAGTTTTACATTATTTTGAGATCATGGATCACATTTATGAAGATTTTGACAAGGTACAAAGTGTTTGGAGTTCAACTGAACAAAGAAAGAAAAAACATTTCCTTAGCTGTACAATTCTTTCCTCAAACATTTAGAGCAACTGAACAATCTGAAAAATAGACGTAGTGTATTGGGTACATAGTAGTGTAATTATTGCGTGTGACTATGTTGGTGCATTTTGATATTTAGTCCTTATCCCCAATTAAACTGTACATTTAAAAAGAAACTAATTCAAGCAAAATAAACGATCAAATCATCCCTTTATGAAACACTGACTAAAACACACACAGGGGTTTGACACATAAGTTTGATGAGTCTCACTTTAGTAAAGATTCTTCAACAGGGGTCTAAATCAGGTTTATACTTCTCCAGGACCTAAAACCCCCCTCAGACCCCAGACGGTTAAACCTGTTGTGTTTTAAAATAATAAAAATAAAAAACCTTTCAAAAGTTTGGGGTCAGTAGGTTTTTATACTTTAAGCAAAAATGCATTCGACTGATCAAAAATGAAAATAAAAGACATTTATAATGTCACAAAAGACTTTTATTAAAAAAAATAATTCTGTTCTTTTGAACTTTCTATTCATTAAAGAATCCTATATTATGTGTCAATAAAAATGTTTCTTGAGCAGCAGATCAGCATTAGAATGATTTCTGAAGGATCATGTGACTCTGAAGACTGGAGTGATGGCTGCTGAAAATTCAGCTTTGACATCACAAGAATAAATTATATTTTTTACATATTTTCAAATAGAAAACAGTTACTTTAAAGGGGTGGTTCACTGTTTTTTTTCTAGGCTTGATTGTGTTTATGGGGTGCAGTCTAACGTGTTAATGCTTAGTTTTTAAAAAAAGACAAATTTTCACATAATTTACCTTTATTCCACATTGCTCGGTCCCTTCTCTGAAAAACGCACTGATCATTTCCTGCTTTTATGAAGCCCCTCCCTCAGAAATAGGCGATGGGCTCTGATTGGTTAACTAGCCCAGTGTGTTGTGATTGGCTAAACCATCTATTGTACGCGTCTAATCGTCCCGCCCCTCAACCCAGCGGCATGTGCTCCGGTTGTATTGTAAACAATGGCGTAGTCTATATCAGTGTTTCCCAACCGGGGTGCCGTCTGTCGAGAGCAGGGGTGCCGTGTAAAAAATATATATTTTTTTATATTTAAAAAAATATATATTTTTAAATTGCTAAAATGTTCAAAAAAGCATCCATTATATAATATCCATTTCTGATGTCGCCAATAATTAGAGATGCACCGAAATTTCGACTGCCGAAAATGAGTTCACTGCTCAGGATTTACGCTCTGCGTATTATCCCGCTCTATGTGTGTGCGCTCCGCTCAGTCACTCCACTCGTATACCATTCATGCGAATCGGAACAGCAAAGTCCACTTAAAAAATTGTGCCGACAGGTAACATCAATGTAGTACAGTATTGTTTCTGTCTGCAATAGCCCTACTGGTGTTGTAACATGGTGTGGTATATGGGCATCTCTGGTAACGCTGCCCTCTCATTCATTGATCTGCTAACCGCATGTTATGCTCACGTGTTCTGATAATAACAGCTTTCTAAGACTAAACATTATTTGGATAATATCTGGATATATAATGGATAAATATCTTAACCCTACTGTTAGACCTACCTAAAAAACAATTTAATTCGAAGGCCTGTCATTATTTTTTATTTGTGCTATCATTATTAATTTCTTTATTTGTTCTTATTTTATTACTGACTGCTTACTTGTCTTTTTTTTTTTATTCAATTCAAAGTTTGAAATCAAGCTATCTCGTGCTACTGCATCAAAATTACCCCACTGTAAAATTAAAAAAAACACTGAGTGAGCAAATATTTGTGAGATAGCTAGTTATAATGGTAATTAAATCATGTTTACATATGAATAAAAGCCAACATTAAAATCTTTCATATAAATTGGTCTCTTCAATAGAAATTAGCCTACTGATTGCCCCCATTGATGGACAAAATTTTTTAATATTAAAAATCTGTATGACCTTATATTCTGCAGTTCTTCCCTGTTGTACTGAATATCTACACTTTTCAAATTATCATATTGAAGTTAGAAATTCAAATATTGTGACAAAATAAATTTTGTAGGGTGCCACAAGTTTGTTAAAATTTCCAAAGGGTGCCGCGACTAAAAAAAGGTTGGGAAACTCTGGTCTATATTGCTTATCAGTTTGAGTCCGATTGAGAAGCAGAGGATATTATTGAAGAGGATCGTGCAGAACCTGTGCAAGCACGGCTTTTAATGGGTAGGCCAATGTTTTTTGTTTGTTGTTGTCTCATACTTTTAGATACGCTGTTATTTGTAAATGCTACTGCTTCTGTTAGCTTTTAATATATGGTTTTATCCTGATTAAAGCTTTAAAGGGGTCATATGATGCGATTTCAATTTTTCCTTTCTCTTTGGAGTGTTACAAGCTCTTGGTACATAAAGAAGATCTGTAAAGTTGCAAAGACTAAAGTCTCAAATCCAAAGAGATATTCTTTATAAAAGTTAAGTCAACCACTCCTACCG